TTTTTTTAATTACGATTTGCTATAATTATGAAGCAACAGCGATCCTGTTTATCATCATTTGGTGTTACTAATGCTCTTTTTTATTACTTTGAATTTTAAAATCCGTTATCTTTGCAAAATGTGTGCTTTCTGTTTTTGTACACATTATTTATTCTGTGCTAGTTCTAGTTATATAATTCATTTCATTGTCCTAGATTAGGAATTTCATATAAATAAACATAGAGCTATATCTACAGTTAGATCATGAAAATAAATCTTGCTGATCAAAAAGGTTAACTATATTCAAAACTAATACACAAATCCATGATTGCAGTAAAAATGCTTTAAATGCATCCTTGTACTTACTGTACCAGTAGGTCTGTTTAAGGTGATGCCAGAGTATGAGTAAAAACACATAAACACTTTGGCTTTTTAAATCAGAGTGTATTTGGACGTTTGACTGTTATTTAAAAACAGCTTTCTGATTGCTAAGTCATTCTTTTAGTCGTTTTTGATAGCTACAAACATGGGATAGAGCTGTCAAGGTGATGTTTGCCATGTAAACAGGCTGGATTTGGAGAGACTTTGCTAGCGGACAAGAGGGAAAATTTCACACATCTCCTTCAGGTGTGTTGATCTGCGGATCTGCAACAGAAACGATTTGTATGAAGTGTGTGGTATCCACTGCAGCTCAGTTTCCGTTGACACAGGTGTAAGGGCAAACAATCTGGTGTTCAAAAACAATTCCTAAATCCCCTCTTGTTCCCCCAACAGCAAGATCCTAGGAATTTGCCTGCTAGCAAGACTGAATGAATGCTTTAGGTAGATTTGCAGATTTGTTTTCTGCACTTACTGTACACTTGCTGCAAGGCAAGTAATTGTGTTGAGAAATAAGATTGTGTTGGGAGTTGATAATACTATCAACTATAACCATGATCTGGGGGGGGCTTTTGAAGGTCTTGCCTAGGTTCCCCAAAAGCTTGGGCCAGCCCTGGTAGCACCCATCCATAAAAGTGGTGACAAAACTGAACCGGGTAATAACAGTCCATTGAAGTGATAATTAAAACCAAACTTGCGGGTCATTTGTATGGAGAGAGGATTCTAGGGGGTGGACCACATGGATTTGGAAAAGGAAAACCTTCCTTATTTCGTCTTGAACTGCACACAGGGGGACTGTTCTTAAGGTTCCATACTAGGACTGCTGCTCTTCCAAGTTTATGTTCAATTAATGTAAACTAGTCAGTTTTGTACACTGTAGCAAGATAAGAAGATACACAAACACTGTAGAAAAGAGTAGAAGAGAGCAATCCAAGACTGGACTCCTGTCAGATGATATTCAATGACAGGTGCAGAGTGTTACACGCAGGTAGCAGAAACATATTCTGTAAGTGCAAGATGGGAAACTCTGAGCAAGAAGAAGTCACTTATGAAAAAGCTGAAAGACGTTTATGTGGACATAATTTACATCTTATTGACAATGTGGACAAGGCAAACGGGCAAACAGAATCTAGGTTATATAGCTGAAGCTTACAATGCACTACTAAGACCCATAGTAGTTTGGAACGTTGTGTACTTTTTTATTCACCATGTACCAAAAATGATTTTTCTTAATAGTGCTGGTCTGGAATCTGTCTAGAGTAGAGTAGCCAGACACATTCCAAAGCTTTTAAGAATCTTGTATGCCTACAAGCTAAAAGAACTGAATCTTTTTAACTTCACATGGTCTGAAGGGACCGAGGGAACCTGATTCAAGTATACAGAAAGTCAAGCCAGTGGCCGTCTTCTGAATCTATAGTGCAAATAGGTTGGAAACTACGGTGAAGTGCAGAAGGCATTTCTTTACACCAAGGGTAACAGGAGTTTGGAACAAACTAACCAAACCTGTTGTTGAAGCTGGAAAAACTGGCTTCTTTCAAGAAACATTCAGATGAGAGCCTCGATTAAGAAGATGCTAGCAATCAAGTGAACTAGGCGCATGTCTCATGTGTTACCTTTTTGTTCTTATTTGCAAGTAACCACAATTTATAGATACAGTAAGCAAATAACTACAGTTCACACTTTAACTAAGAAAGTAAGCATTAAACTGAGGTACTACTTAAATGAATGGCAACCATAGCTCATTGCAGGCTGTATTTCTCTGAAGCAGAGACTTGGATAAGGGACAATTGACAATTGGATAAGTCCCTACAGTATGTGTGCACTACTTACTGTAACACACAAGACACACATTTCACAGACACCAACACAAGACTGTGCTGTTTATCATGGAGCATGAACACTACGTTATCTCAGACAATATGCTCTTCTAGTTGGAGTTGATCACCCACAGGACTAGGAGTGCGTGGGCTGTGTCAGTCCTCCCCTGCACCATGTGAGGAACAAATGAGGGGGCAAACACTTTCCGGTCTGTTAAACACACTCTTTCCCCCAGCCCAGTCACTCACATTTTCAAGGTAGAAACACTTTGATCCATTTATTGCTCTTTGCATATAGAGTGACATATTATAAGACTGGTGTGAATGTTTTACTCAGAAATGCTTACTAAGGAACAGCCAGTGGAACTGAGTGTTTTTCCAAACCCTCCAAACCTTCCAGGATTGATGTAATTGCATTTTTTTTGTATTCAGTTGTATTCACGATATTTGAAACAACATAAACATCAGACCTTGGTGCTGAACAATATCTTCTAAGTACGGAATAGGAGCTGAATGCTGCACTGGTCTGGATGATGTGTGATTGCATCAGAAGACAGGGGCATGTTTCCATTTTCTGACCATGCAGACAGTCTGTCAGCCTCTAAAACAGCAGCTTCTCCTTCGGAGCAGCTGTTTCTCAAACGAGCAGTGTCAGATTTCTGCATAATCTGGTAGATTAGGTACTCACCCAGTTACAGCCCTCTGGTATGGTGACCTCATAAGTAGGCTGGGCCTTTTTCTTAAAGGCGTGGCTGGCTTCCCCACTCTCCCTGGTGATTGGCTGAGGGGTGAAGTGGGTGGGGCCTGGCTCTCATCAGGACCGACTCCAGGGTCCTGAAAGCAGCCAAAGCATACACTGTGACCTTCCTCACCGCTGAGTCAGGCGCATTGCAGGACTTCAGCCATCCGTGGATGATCTGGAGCCCTCGCCTGTCCTATAAAGGAGTTTTTAAATGTTAATTGGAAGACGCTCATAGCATGCTGCCCTTTTTATTCAAGAAACAAATAAATAACAGGTTTTTCACAGGATTTTTTAAATTTCCTGGTTTACATACACTAGCTCCAAAAGGAATTTGTGTAGAAAAACAGCCCCACCCCATTATCTAAACAGTTAAAAAAATGCAACCCCTTAATAATCTTTAAAATAGAAGCTGTTTTGGAACTGTGCTGCTTGTGTTATTTCCAAAGGACTTTTACTTGTGGTTTTACACGTCTCGATTAGCACTGATCTTGGGCTACCTCATGTTTCTTTAGGTGAGCAAAACAAGGACCACTAATCTGGGTCTGTGAAACCGGCCCATGAAGCTGATGAACTGAACGGTGTGCCCTGTGGACACGCACCTGCTGGGCTTTGTCCCAGTTACACAATGGAACACATGAGCACTGCAACTCCTTGCCCCATCCAGCCTTCTGCCCTGTTCCAGACGGACAGCCCCACAGCAGAGCAACCCCCTAGAAGAGGCCTGCTGCAGTTCTCGAGGGATGCTGCTGCAAGTGTGCAGGAGTCTGGCAGGCCAGAGGGGGCACTGTTGCTCAGAAAGCCAAGAGCAACCTGACCCAGCTCAAACCCATCCTAGATCAGTGACACTAATACAGGCCTCCACCTGGATCACCTGCTCACAGGCAGACTTGAACAGGAGACACCTGGACTACAGAGATCAGCCTGGGCTTCGACACGGCAACTTTGCTCCTTGAACTATCAAATCAATCTTTTTTATATAATTTTTATTGTTGCAAACCTGACCAGCAGTATACCCGTTATTATATACTTAATCATGCTAGGTTGCGCTTGGAAAAGGGACAAGGATGTCGTAGCACTGAGGTAGAAGGTTTTTTTTTAGCTGTCTGAATTGAATTAAAAAAAAATGAAAGCTGAGATGAACAAAAGCTATCCACAACAAACCGGGCAACTTGCATTTTCATAAAAGGGGTTTTGATTTTCATTTAAAATGAAACGTTTCTAGTGAAAGCCTGTGATCAGAACAGCCCGGCCACAAACAAGAGCAAGAAGGAAAAACACTTAAATAAAAAGGATTGCTGGGTGGAGTCTTTTTTTTTTTTGCTGCTTTGCTGCAATGAATATTTAATACGATCCTCTTCAAAGGCATTAGAAGCAATTGCAGATGTGAGATTTTTCCTCTCTCTCTCTCTCGGTTTTTAAAGAACTTTAGCATCGAAGCACTTTGCTTCATTCGAGCAGGAACCTGCTTATGTTCCTACCCACACCGCACTGCCACTGGTTCCCATGGGAACGCCACCCCAGAAAGGAAAGCAGCTTCCTGTCTGCAGCACAGTAAAAACCTTCGCGGGTCTTGCACTCATTTCCTCCCGGTGGACTCTCTCGGGAGTGCTGCAGACGGCCTCTCACAGAGTAACGCACAGCGTTTTCAAAGCCCGGAATTAAACGCCATGTGTTTTCTGCAGCATCTTACATGGTACAGCGGTGTTACAACCAGCTGCCAGATGTATTTTGTGAACATGTTTATTACACAGATATAGGGCACTCAATGAAAAAGACTGGCACTAATTTATTAGGGCAGATGTTGCAAAGTTTTGTCATGACCATCACTGTAGAGCTCAAAGCTCCACCAGATAGTTTAAATAGTGGGCGATATGGTTCCCTAAACCTGTCCTGGATTTCCCCCAACACTGCAGGGGTGTCTCTTTTAAGGTCTGCACACAACATGACCGATGTTTAGCAAAGACACCAACACTGTGTCTTTGCTAAACATCCAGAAGGATAACAACTGAAACACTGCACCCTATGGAGGCTGTTACTGTATATTCCCTGGAAATTTTGCCAACTGGCAGCCTGGTGGGGCCGTGGTTAGCATTGTTGCCTTCCAGCGCTGGGGCACTGGGTTCAATTCCACACTTAGAGTTGGTCTGTTCTCCCTGTGTTTGTGTGGGTTTCCTCTGGGTGCTCCAGTTTCCACCCACAATCCAAAAACACAGTGGTAGGTTAATCTAGGTGTGAGTGCGTGTCTGTGTTTGTGCTGGTGTGTGCCCTGCTATGGACTGGGGTCCTGTCAAGTGTGTACCCTACTTTGCTACTTGCTGGAATAGGCTCTCCTGTGACCCTGAGTCACAGGAGTTGGAAGTTGGAAGAAGTGATTAGAATATGGGTGGATTGATATTACTAATAAAAAAATCTTTAGATATCACCAATCAAAAAGCAAGTTGCAGAGCTGGATTACACCACTGACTCACACACCAGACATATTGTGCAGCTGTAGAGGCAAGTCTGTAATGGCAGAGCTGATAAAAGCTCACATTGCATGGACTTTAGGTGCCCTTTTTTATTCAGAATCAGAATAAACTGATGTCAGAAGGGATTGTGCAAGATCTGTCTACCTGTCAACTTTCTTTGCCGAGAACCAAAAACAGCAGGCATTTTAATTTGTTGTATTATACAGTATGTCCAATTATATTCTCGGACATATTCTGGAACTCCCAAAGGCACTCTTTAAAAGAAAAGATGTGATACAAATGGCAAGCCCATTTGCTCGTATGGTGAAATTTTCACCCAACTGTTTCTTGAAGACGGATTCACACTACGATGCCCATAATCAATAATGGAAATTATTTTAAAGACCATGTGAAGCTGGCAAACAAACATTCAGTCAAAGGCCAGTCATATCCTGTGAGTAAACTGTGAACATAAAAGTTGCCTACAGTATATCCCTGAACACCCTTCACATTGAGTATACATTTTCGTTACAAAACAGGGTCATTGTGCATTACATACTGTATTTCAATGTTTGCTAGAACATAGGGCTTAGAAAAATACCTTGAATTATCTTAACAATCACATTCTTATAAAAATTATCTATAGAGGGAGAAAATAAGGCACTTTTTTATCCAAAGGGTTGTGGGTGTATGGAACAAGCATCCCATCCTTGTTTTCTATTCGTTCCCACCCAGAGGAGCCAGAACTGAATGTTCATAATAAAATAGTTTAATGCCAAATCCTTATGTTTATGTGTTTTCAAGAAGTACGCTGGACCCTTTGAATACACACACATATAAGGGAAGCCTTGCCTCTTCCTGCCAATACCTCTACAACATTAAATCTGGATTATAAAACAGATAGACATTTGCAGAAATGTAGACTGGTAGGTTGAGAAACCTTTACCCAGCTCTTGCTAAGCCTGTGGCTCCAGTACAAATGCACAAAGCCAATTAAAGGATTTCTTGCTGGTTACACTTGCATTAAGAGTTTCCAAAGAGAGGATTTGCAGTTGAGCTAGGGTCTCCCTCACATAATATGACTACCAAACCGTTCCAAGGAGATGGTCTTAGTGTTCCTCATAAACATCAACCTGGGCAGAGGAAATCATGTTACCTCAAAGGTCAAACTCATTTTATTTAGAGAAAAGGTACTCCATGCTAACAATACTACATTTACAAAAAAAACAGAAAAAGCTTTTTGCGAGCATGATTCCAAAACACATATGTGCCCGCAGAAGCTGAGAGCTGCATCAGTTTCTGAACAAAATGTAAGACAGGAAAGAGGAGACAGTTCAACTCTTCCATCTCCTGAAGTCAACTCAGCTTGATAACTGTCGGTCTGGGGTTTCTGTCTAGTCCCCAGTGGCCCTCTGTGCTAATATTAAAAGCACCACACAACCAGTTTAGCTGCTCAGAATTGGAGGCTATCTTCACTAGAAACTGAATATGGTCCTCGCACTTTCTCTGCCAGCAGAGGGCTCTCACCTAAAATCATAGAGCCTTGAAGAGAGCAGGTATGATCTTAACCTAGGTGCCATACTGTATATCCACTCCTGCCTGCTGGTGTTAAATTATCTCCCCCTACCATGAAGCAAAGTCAAAGCAGAATCTGACACCTTGTGCAAAATTGCACATCCTTCTTAATTAAAGAATATCTCCAATTACTGAACGAAAAATCAAAACCTGTTTTGTAAATCAGAAGAAACTGTTTTAATTATTACTTACTTATCTGAAGACAGTTACACCGAACCTTGATGAGGCCCTCACATTCGGCTTACGTTTAATCAAATGTTTAATTCTCCGCATTTCCACAGTTACCTTCTAAATTACCCACCCGGTGAGAGAGAAAAGTGCTTTTAAAGTGAACATTATACTGAAGGATAAAACCGCATTAATTGGCACACTGATGTCCTTACAGAAAATGCATACAGGCAGAAGAGAGAAAGAAGAAGAGATGGAGACAGGGAGTGGACATGGCTGATTACTTACTGAATGGGTCTCCAGTCCTCAGTAAGTGGAGGACCACAAGGCAGGATACACCCTGGACAGGATGCCAGTGCCAGTAAATCTATGCAATTAATTTCTATGTCCTTTTCTTATCTGTGCTATGCTTTCACTCTGTTTCAATCGGGGTTTCCCAGATTTTGCAGAAGGGTTTTCCACACGTCTCCCCAATTTATCATGATTTCTCCAAATACTCCTCCTTGACCATCAGTGTAGTTGCAAATGAGAGGGATCCATTCAGCCCAGCTTGGCTGGTTGTAAGCCCACCTCACGGAACAACAAGGCAAGCTTTTAATCTGGCTCAGCACAGCCTAACAGATGGCTACACAATATTCTTTCCTGTTTTTGGCTGTACTGAAGGACAGAACTTTGAATCCAAGACACCACCACTCTTCCTGATAGAATGTTACAGAATGTTAAGAGATTTACAGGAGAATAATCGTAGATGGATGCAAGTGGTGTATTTTCTCCTTGTTGCCTTTTGGGGAGATCACTGAGTACAATTCAGTATGTGCAAAACAAACACCAGCATAGTCTGAGCAGACAGCAAGTAAACTAGACATTGCTGATGATATTATTAGTCTGCAAGCAAAGGTTGA